CCCTGGCCGGGGGCGGGAGCGGCGCCCCGCCGAACGGATGTCCGGGGGTCCCACCAGCCAAACTCTGGGCGGGAGGGGTCGGACGGACTTCGGGGAAGCCGTCGCCCCACTTCCCTGCCCAAAACCCCAAACGCGGCCCCTCCGGAGGCCTCCCTGGTAGGCTGCCCTACAGCCGCCCCAGAGTCGGAACCACCGCTGTCGGGACCACGCTGTGTGCCCGGGCCGGGCCCAGGTCCTCTCCTGGCTTCACGCCCACTCTGATGAGTTTGGTGGCCCTGACCCCTTTTCAGATAGGGAAACAGGCTCAGGGACTTGTTCCGTGGCATCACAGAGTGCTGAGCCGTACCAAGATTTGGTCTTGGAAGATGGTCTGAAAAGAGCTTTATGAACCGGCTTAGAGGTAGACACATCTACATGAGCGCCAGCGGGGCACTGATTCGGGGCCATTAAGCCCCAAGGCGCTGGTCCCCTAGGTGTTGAGGCTTGAAAAGGAGGTTGCAGCTGGCTAGGGGCCTCTTAGGTCGGGCTTAGGTGCCTGGCACTTATTCTTAGGCAGCAGGGAGCCTTTGGAAGGTTTTAAGCAGGAAGTGATACCTGATTTGTGTTCTTCAAAGAAAATCACTGCCAACTTTGCAGTAGGAAGTGAAACCAGAAGCAGAGCAACTTTCACTTTCTCGATGTCACTTTGATACTCGCCGCAAGGCGGGAGCCAGGCACACTGTACTCCTTTCGAAAGGTGAACTCCCTCAAGCTCGGAGAGAGCTCCTCAGGAGCTATCATTCGGTTCTAACAGGTAAAATAAAATGCTTTCATTTAGCAAGAGTTTTTTACCATATTTAAATGTTTTGTTATTCTTTCATGAAATGTATATGACTGGTTTTTTTAGACTACATTGAAGAGTGTAAGGAATTGTGTCTGTCGGTGTTAGTCCCAGGGCCTTTGCATGTCTGTTTGCTGTACCTGGAGTTCTTGCCCTCTGCTTGGACCTTCTTACTCCCTCACTTCCTTCAAGCCCAGATGTCACCTCATTAGATGTCATCTGATCACTCAGTATGTAATTGGAACCACCCACTCCCCTCCACCCTTTCACACACACTCCCCACCCCCATCTGTTCTGTTGTTGTCCAAAGCACGTATTGTTCACCACTGCCCAACACTGTTTGCTTGTTTATCTCTGGATTTTCTGCTCCCTCCATGAGAGTATTAGATTCTCTAGAGCAGGGACTTTGTTTTGTTCACTTCTGGGTCCCCAGCACATAATAAAATATTTGTTGAGTGAGTGAATGAAGCTTTGGGTGATGTGAAGTAAGAAGTTATTATTAAAAGTATTCGAAAGGAGTGGGAGTGAGGGACAGGAGTGAAGGGACAAAAGAGATTATATTAAGAATATCTTTGGGGGAGGGATTGCGCTTAGTGTGTGAGAGTAAAACTGAGCACCAAGCCTTTGACACTTCTCCCGATGAGGGATGGGATCTACTTTTTCACCCGTTGAGTTTGGATAGGTCTTGAAACTTGCTTTGCCCCCAAAAATGTGTCACAAGTCAGGTACAACTGAGCTGAAACCTCAAGAGTCCACGTAGTTTCCTTCTCACCCTCTTAAACTAGCCCATGCCAGCCTAGTGAGTGGCCACTGAGGCACCCTGGCCAACAGGCAGCCAACTGCCAGGCAGGTGAGTGAGGCTGCACTGGACCACCCAGCCTCGGTCAAGTCTTCTGCCACCTGGAGCCACCTGCAACCCAGAAGACCAGCAGAACTGCACCCAGCCTAAACTGCCAAACCAGAGAATCATGAGCAAGTCAAATTAAAACTTGTGGTTTTAAGCCACTGCTCATTTTGAAGCAGTTTGTTACACAGCCATAGAGAACCGATACTTTCAGTTTCCTCGACTATGTTGATACGTTTGAGCTCGATGCTCTTGAAGGGCAGCTTTGATTATTCTTCTGCTTAATAAACGAAGAAAATAGGGAAGGGGCAGGAAGAAGTTGTGATGCAAATGAGACGGGCAAAGAGATACAAATAGGAGAAAGGCAGACTCACTAGGAGATGGTGAGGAGTTTGTGGTCTAACAGACCCCTATCCCTGGAGCGGGGCTGTGGTGCCTGAGCGCTCAGGCTCGGGAGTTGGACGAACAGTGGAGCAGACCAGGCTCAAGTGCACTATTCAGCAGCGCCCGAGGCTGGGCAGCTGCTTAATGTCTCTGAGCCTCTTTCCTCATCCGTAAAATGGGGCTTACAAAGGACCTACATACACAAAATCAGGCTGTTGTGGGAGGAAATGAGCCATCTGGTAAGAGTCAGCAGAGTGTTTGGCATAGTGTGCCCTCAGTAAGTGTTCCTGGTCAGCCGTAGCCTTGTACGGAATACTGATCATCTTGATCATGGAGGGGATATCAAAGGACCACCCAGAGTGTAGTGTTACCAAAGGCTGGGTAGGTCGGAGCCTGCAAACACTGTCTCTAAACCTTGTAGCATCCTTGCAGCGTAGACACTGGGATCATCACCCCCATTTTATTGATGTGAAAACTGTGGCTTAGAAGAAAAAAAAAAACAAAGCAATGAGACAGATAGCAGGGTTGGAATTCAGAGCCACAGTCTGTCCGGCCATGAAGGCTGTGCTCCTCCCTCTCCCTGTGAGCCTCTGCTGCACTCAGGCCCTGTACAAAACACAAAACCCAGAACACCATTTGGCTTCTCCCTTCCTGCACTGGCCAGATGGGCTGAGCACTGACCTCGCGTGGGAAGCTTTCAGGAAGGGTTTTCTGTGCGTTGGCAAAGCAGCTGCACCGACCCTGGAGAAGCCCCCGCCTATCTCGTCTGGGGAGGCTTGTCCCCCAGAGGGCCTTGCTTACCGTGGGGAAGCAGAAACACACCTTTTAGGCCAGGATGTCGATGCATGCTGATGAGGGCACGGGAGCTGATGACACCGAGGCCCAGGTTACTGCCCACAACGTGGCACTGGCCAGCCTCTGATCTGCCTAAAGAAGCTGGAATGAGAGAAAGTTGGACCCAGGGGACAGGTGCCTGGGCCACTTCTAGATCCACTAAGATGTGCTTCTGGGAGCTATGGGCCTGTCACCCTACCTGGGGATGCTGGTCCTTAGGTGTTAAGAATCAGAGGCTACTCAGGGAACAGGGGTCAGGGAGCAGTGGAACAATAAAGGAGACCAAGTGACCAGGATTCCAATACTAGCTCCCCCATGTGACAACCTGGTGGCCCTAAGCAGCCACTCAACCTCTGAACCTCAATCTCCTCACCTGTAAAGTGAGGAGGGGGAAGGGGCAGACTGCAAGAACAGAAGGGACGGAGTCAGGGAATGCCCCTAGGAAAGAGGCCCAAAGGAGGGACAGTGTGAGGGACTGGAAGACACAGTTCCTCCTTCAGGCTCTGGCCAGTATAAAGACAAGATGCGTCAGGACCACTACGTGCACTGGTTGGGCATTTTGTAAGATGACCCACCAACAATTTGTCTGATGTTTTTCTGGATGTTAGATGGGGGTTACCATTGACTGGGAGGAAGACCTCAGATACTGATGGCCACTGTCATCGCATTACGAGTGCATACTGTCAGCGTGATTTACGGCAGTTGATTTTGGCCTTGGTCACCTGGCTGAGATGTCCTTGCCAGACTGCTCCACTGCAAAGTCCTCCCCCCACACTCCTTTTCAGATTGTGTGCTTTGGGAGGAAGTCACTATGTGTAGCCCACACCTGAAGAGGAGAGACTGGCGCTCCCCTTCCCCTTGAGGGCAGAGTGGCTATATAGATTACCTGGAAACTGTTTTGGGTGGGAGCTTTGTCCCTTCTCCCCCCATTTGTTGGTGGATTCAGTCATTTATATCAGGATGGACTCGGTGGGTATTTAATTTTTCTCTCTGGGTTATAATCCATGGCCAGTTAATTTTGTTTCTCTTGGGGACATTGGTAACATCCAAAACACCTTCAAGTCTGACATCACCAATTCAAAGCCAGGCCCGCGTCTGGCCTGGCATAGAGCTGCCTCACAGCTAGAAACCAGCCCAGGTGACGCACAGAAATCTCCACGCATGGAAAGAGCCAGGCAGGCAGCAGGCCTGTGGATAGAGATTGATGGGTCTAGTTATCAAGCTTGGACTCCCCTGCCACGTCTGTAACGTTCATTCCCTCATTCCAACCAGTCACACTGAGCCCTAGGACAGCCCACACAGACTGCTAGACACCAGGGCACTCGCGTCTGGTGGGAGCAGGCAAGTAAACAGGTAATTAAGACACAAAGCCATCCCAGCCACCCCAGCCACCCCAGCCATGCTGCCACAGAGGGGATGTTTCTGCTGAGTCTTAAAAGCAGGCAAGGCTGGGGAGGGGCGTCCCAGTAGATGGCACAGATGGGCAGAGTGTGAGAGAACCTGTCCTTGGGGAGGAATGCAGCCCAGCTGGGTCACTGTCAAGGCAAACAAGGCGTTTAGGGCCTGAATGTGGGGCTGGAGACTGGGAGAGAGAACGAATGGGACTGTGAGTCAGTCAGGACTCAGTTGTGAGGCTACCAGCAGCAGAAACTAACCCTGGTAGTCTTAAGCTAAAGGAGTTTTTCTGGGAGGTGCACCTGTAAGATTCAACACTACTGCAATCGGGAAAACACACGTGGATTTGTTGCATCATATAAACAAAGTCCAGAGGTAGAAAGAACTGATATGGAGACCCAGTCAATTAATCAGAGCTCCAGGCTCTTCCTCTGTTTCTGCTACATGGTATGTGACTTCCATTCTCAGATCACCCCATGGGTTAGAAGAGTTGCTAGAGCTTCAGCCATCTAGAGCTCCAGCCATCATTTCCACATTCCAAGCAGCAAGAAGGAAGAAGGAGGAGGGATCAAATGGCACATTCTCCTGAAAATCTTCAGAAAACTGAGGCACAGAGAGGTTAAGAGATTGCCCAAGATCAAACCTCTTGCTACCTGCCACAGCGCCTCCTGACTGGGTCGGTGTGTGCCTGCCTCACTCTAACCTGAAACAACCCAGAAGCCAGCAATTATATCATCGGACATGGAGTCACTTTAAATTACAATTGGTCTTCGTATCTGCCTCTTCTGCTTTCTCTGAAATGCTGTTTATTCTTTGGCTTGAGCTATTATCCTTTTCATCTTCTCCAGCTTTGTGCTGTTGCATTTAACTGTGACGGCGATGAACGCCGTTGCTTTAAAGTTATCCAGCCAAAGTAAGTGGCCGTCTCCAAACTTCACCAGGTAATTAACACGTGCCACAGCCCACAGACACTGCACACACTTCAGCAGCAAGGTTGGGAGGGGTTCACAGACACCAGAGCTAAAAATAAGTTACAGGGGAAAGTCCTGCACCCGCTCCTGGGAAGACTCACACCCTGAGAATGACACCTCATCATGCTTACAATATCATTGTCCACAGTATCGGTAGCCAGTGTGATCACCCTCTGGGGAAACTGAGGCCTGGCAAGGTCAGTGATGCACTGGAGGCATCAGCAAATGAGCACCGGAAGCATGTGGAAAGAAGGAGTCATGGGCAGAGCCCAGCTGAGAATGAGGATCACCTATTGCTGAATCTAGTGTTTGTTGAGTGACTGAGTGACTGTTTTCCTAACTACTCGATTCTCCCCACGATTGTGGACCCAGCGTGTTACCTTTGGCACTCCGACTTTGTTTTGTATTTCTTGACTTGTCTAAGCTGTAAGCTCCTTAGGAGGAGAAACAAAGTGACTTGAGCTCCCTAAAATCGAGTTCCTCTGTCTTTATAATGGAGATCATTGTCATAGCTGCCTCCTAGGGTTGTTATAAGGAGCAGACAACATATGTGTGGGAAAGAGCTGGTGGCTTCCTCATGGAGCACCTCCCTGGCACAGACACCTGTCTGATAGAAGGTGCTTAAAATATTTGTTGGTTAGACACAGGGGTGCACAGCAATAGTGATCATTATTCTTAAAGTGTGCATGGTGTATAATTCATCTATGGCATCCAGAACTCTTACCACATTCTAAAAATGGGCTTGGAGGGTACATTTCCACACAGACAGACTTGTTTCTAAATTGGCAGCCCAGGGCCTCCTCCACAAGGGGCTAAGGAACTCTGAGCTTGCCTGGGTTGGTAATTACCATCTCCACCTGGAAAAAACTCTGGTGACTCAGCTGGGTGGAAATACCACCTATGCCTCGGGGACAGGAAAAGAGCTGGGACTTTGACCAGCCCCAGCAGGGAGGCAGCGCCCTGATTCCCAGTGGAATGTCAACGTGGGTTCTTGTTTGCCTCACAGGGAAGAGCAGGCAACCAGGAGTCACCAGCTGTCGCTCCTGCCTGGCGGTTCCTTCAACCCTCCTCTGCCTCGTGCTCCTGGTCTGTAGAGGGGTAGGGGACTTCCGTGGGCTCCCAGGTGGCCCCTTTAACTCTGAAATCCCATGAATTCACAAAAGGGTGACAGTCTGTGAAAGACATTAGCAGTCCCCCACGGGGAGCTCTCCAAGGCCAAGGATGGCCTTGTTCTCGCACAAACTGCAAAGCTGGTAGTGAGTGCTTAATAAATAAAGCATTCGCCTGCTTTAAAACAATGCTTTAGGAAAATTCCCACACTTCCAATGGCCTGACTTGCTGCAGCAGGCAGATTTCGAGCACAAACAACTTGTGAGGCACTTTGGTGTTACAAACCGGCTGAGGTTTTATGCAGATTAGCCCAGAGCCCCAAATCAGCCTGCGAGAAGGCAGCCTTGACAAGGGCATCTGGGACAAAGGAGGCTGAATTAGGACTGTGGTGGGCCAAGGGGGCCGTGAATGAGGCATTGTGAGGAAAGGCTTTGATTTAAACCCAGCCAGCATCATGCGTACT